TCAAGGACATAGATTTATCTCATCTTTTTGTAGTCTTATGCCAGAGCCTTGGGACATCATCCGATGTGAAAGGCGCTACATACATGCAATTTGTTGTTGAGAAGGTTCACAGCAGCCTCTCTGCTGCCACGCCTCTGGCTGCATCCTGAAACTGTTTTACCATCTGCCCAAACTGGCACTGGCAGATAGTAAACCAGTGTCAGGGTGCAGCCAGAACTACCAATATAGTAGTGCACTTATTTATATAATAAACAGACAATGATAAGAATTACAGGAAAAGAGCCCTCATTGATGATTTTGGGATGGTGGCCGCTACCAGTTTCAACAGGAATCAGTCCTTACAAATCCAGTTATCAACAGGAATCGGGCTTTACAAATCCTTTGCAAATTCAGTCATCAGAATTGCCTCTTTCATCACACCTCCCCTTCCCCCACAAGGAAATTGTTCTAGATGTTGATTCCACTTTACGTCTAAGTGGTACAAGTTATATGTAAACTGTTAATGCATTTCTCAAATCAACGCTGCCCGACATGATAAACAACAGGATTTGTGCATTAGTTCCAGCCCAACCCAGGGCTTGAATTGACTTGTCTATTGGCTGTAGCAGTTCAAAGCAAATAGCTTTTTCCTCCAACAATATCTATGTTAAATAGTTTTATGAGTGCTATTATTTTCCACAAGCAGGGCGATTCGCATTGATGAGATCCAGAGCAAGTACTGGTCGGACTCAGAGCAAAGCATTCACCACAGATGAATCAGTGCAACGTTTTAAACTCATTCCGAGACTCCCATGGGACTAGGCATGTTTTAATGTCAGATGGGTGGGGTGGGGGAGGAACGAGCTATGAATTTTGCAAAGCAGCAATGTACAACTGGCTAGAAAGCTGACAAGGTAAACTGAAGGGCTTACATGTGTTTCCTTATCCAGATATAGTTAAATATGAGCCTTGTAGAAAACAGTCAATAACCTGGTGCATGCTATGTAGACAGAGCACATTTTTCTTTGAAAGATGAATGCTGTTGGACTACAGCCTATGTACTGATTTAAAAGTGTTACCCAGACTGTTCTGATGGCTGTTTGAGAAACCTCACTAAACGCCATAACAAACTTTTTTTTGGGAGGTTACTTAAAGCAGGCACATTACTCATGTGTCTCTTCAAGCTTGGAACTACTCATTTTTTAATGCATTTCTCAAATCATTTGTTTCTAATACTGTGCAAAGTATTGTTAACCCGTGTGTCTCATGGGTCTAATTTGTAAGTTGGGCAAAGTGTACGGGTTTAGTTAATTGTGTACGAAATCAAAGTTTGCCCTTTGTTATAATACTGCTTGCATTTGACATATGGCTTGGCTCGGTGCTAGCTAGCACTTTGCCTCTGAGTCAAAAGGTTGTGGGTTCAAATCCCACATCAGGGCTTGAACTCACATTGTCTAAGATGACACTCCAATGTAGCACTGGAGTCTGTTGCATTGTCGGAAGTGCTGTACTTCGGATGAGATGTTAAACCGAGGTTCCATCTGCCTGTGCAGGTGGATGTTAAGCATCCCATGGCACCATTTGAAAGGAGAAGGGAGTTTCTCGGGTGTCCTGGCCCACAAAGCAGAAAAACTGCAATGCATGAGTTATCAGCACTGTAATGGAGTGTCAACCCAGACTGTGAGTTCAAAGTTCACATCCCAATCACTCTGTTGCTCACTACTTTGGAAGACATCCTCTTACAGTCAGTAGTGTATTAATATTACATGTCCCTTGGTTACCTGTGAAAAAAATTACTGACTTCCAGGTTTTCAGGTAGTCACTTCCTACACCACTGGGTACGATGCATAGGAGGCACTGTGACTGTCATTTCCTGCACATGTGGATTATATGCACGTCAGTTTCTTTGCAAAGTGATGGCATCATGTGCCTAGTGTGTATGCACAGGAAGCGGTGTTAATGGTACTTCCTTTGCATGTAGCACACCAGAAGTGATATCAGTGCTGCATGTGCGCAATGCACAGGAAATAAGGTCAACGATGTCCTGATGACAAGTCAAGCATATTTTAGTGTGGGAATCAGCCCAGACAGCACATCTAATTCGCATGAGTCCACAGGACACCAACACTATAAACAAACTAAGAAGGGGCATTATAACATGGTTGCCCTGTATTCAAGCCTGTCCCTTGTTAACTTTGTGTCTCAGATAATTACAGTTGCAAATCATCAAGCGTTTCCATGTTTGTGGCCACAGTGCTGATGGTGTAAACTCAGAATTTGATGTTGAGAAATTATGGCCTTTGGCGCAGTGTCTTCCAGCACAGAGTGCTTAAGTTTGTCAAATTGTTGCAGGAAATCTGTACAAATTCCTGACAAAATGCCCAAGTTGAATTTCAATTTGCTTATACACCTTGTCCCAAAGATAAATTAGATATACATTTGGTAACTGAGGCACAGAACAGCTGCAAGATGTCTATTGGTTAACATCAATAGTCACCTCTTGTGAAAGATCCTTTGATCTTCCAATGTCACTGACAGGTCAGCAGCATGTTGACGTGCATGCTGATAATTGTACATTGCAACTCTACTGAGATTTGCTTTCAGATCTATTTGAGTGTGCGTTCAAAATAAGTGCAAAAATATTCATTTTGCCAGAGTTAAAATGTATGGCCCCGTTTTCTCTCAATGTAACTTTTGTTCTCTGAGTTACACTGTGTTATGTGCATTTTTTTTAATGAGTATCATCAGATTGCTTTTCTTTTCTCTTTGAAAGGTGTGGTTTAAAGCCCCGGAGGCAGGTAGAGAGAAGTTTCCTAAATCAGTATCTGTCAAAAATTCACTCTTCAGCATTAATAGTTTTCAGGTCATCACCCACCGCCCCAGTAAAAAAAAGCACACAATTCATGATTTCAGTGTGTTTAACCTGAACATGCACTCGTATGGAGAAGGATTAAAACATTGGAATTTAACTGTAAACAGATGTGCTGTTGAAGAGAACACAATCCATCAGGCTTGACGTAGCTTGGCTTCAGCTCTGCAATACTACAATCATTAGAGTACACAGTGCAGCGAATACTAGCGAATACTCCCAGGACAGAAATTATTACTTGGTGCATTCCTAGTCACAAAAGTCTGATCAGCTGTTTTCCTCATGAGTATTTGGGTGTATTTTTTTTTCCGCGTCAGGACTGAGATCACAGTCTAATATGGCACTCCAGTTCAGTGCTGGAGGAAACGTTGCATTGTCTGAGGTGCTGTCCTTCAGATGAAACGTTAAACCGAGGTTCTTTCTGCCCGCTCAGGTGACTTTAAAGATTTTGTGGCACTTTTTGAAAAGATAAGGAAGAGAGTGTCTTTTATTCTGAAATATAAAATATTTTCCAGAACCAACGGAAGTTTACAGTGGAGTTGTAAAATTATCTTTACTCCCTTTTTTTTAGCAGAATTACTGGCCCCAGTACTTCTGAATCATTGCCCAATGCTAACAAGCAGATGTAATTAAACAGAGTTATAACATCTTGGAACTGATAATTCTGTGAAATGTGGAATAAAACTAGATATAAGGTCTGAATTTTCTAGTCTTCATCAATGATGTACTTTAACAATATAGGGAGAAATAGGGCCCCCAAATGCTCAGAGATTAAAAAGCAGGAAGATCCTAGGTCTGCAGTGAGTTAGCTATTTTTGGCTGCAATTGCCCTCCAGGGGTCACCTACAAAATACACAGTCGCTACTCTTTACAGTAAAATCCTGTGAAGCGCTTATCATATCTACCCAACGTGATAAAGTGCAATATCAAATGCAAAGAATATTTATTCATCCATTGTTCTGACTTCTTATTGTTGTCCATTGAACCATATATCAATTTTACATAGGACATGGTTGGATTTTGGCTGAAATATTTCCCTGCCCTCTCCCCCCTTCCCCACGGAAACAAAGAAAGAACAACTGAGTCAAAAAAAACTTCAAGAAACAAAAAGGAAGTAGAGAAAGTCAATAAGAAACAGCACTAGAGACATTTTTTCTTGGTCAGCCGGGTGTCTGACACATGCAGAAATCAAACCAAGCTGAGATTTCCATTTTTCCTACACATGGAAATCCCAGAGATAAATTGTTGGAATGGAATGCACACACTCTCCCTGGAGGGACACATCCTGCTTACCTAATTCCGGAAAGTATTAGGTGGCAGTTGGCAAGAGCCAAACCTTGGGAACCCCAGAGTGTGCGTTGGGGTACTGCTGGAGTCTAACCAGCTAAAACTGCACAGCTTGCCATTCATATTGCAACAGCTGAATATTAGACACTTTCTTGGATTTTTTAAGCACTTTGAGACGTCACCCTGCATGAAGGGCTTTATATAAATTCTAGTTGTTGTTGGACTCTTTCCCTAAGTCCCTCCACTTCATACCAACCCTCTCTGCTGTCTAAAAAAAACTCTCTTTGTGCCCACCCTCCCAATCTCTCACCCCATTCGGGCTCCTGCACCAATCTGAGAAGCATTTTGAGATATTTTCCTTTGTGAAAGGTGCTACATAAGTGTAAGTTGTTGTAGTTGGTATCCAATATCATCTCTGGATTTTTTCAGAAAAAAAAATGAGCTGCTCATAATTTGCTTCAGGAGATGTTCGTCTCCAGTTGTTTTCAGGCCTCAATGTTCTTAGGAATATTATATAAAAAGTTAAGTAAATACTCTCAGATGAATGACTGTTCTTGTGAGTGTTTCCAGTAGTTGCTGGAAGACTGCTAAATGCCTGGATTGTATTCTGCACCTGGGAGCTCAAGAAGCTGGCCAGTCAGTGGAAGTGTACCCAACTTCTGGGCGTGCTACAGTGGGGTCTGCCTGTAACTAATACCATACAAACTGTTATTCTTGTTTGACTAGTTCCCAGCACTTTGAAAGTGAATGAATATGATTGTGATTCATCTTTGTCACTGATAAGATTCATGGAAAGTAGAACAGGAGTAGTGAATGCTTGCCCTGAACTACAGTATATATCATTAATGTCCTTTTTTTCTTTCAGTTTCGATGTAGACAATGGCACATCATCAGGACGGAGTCCCTTAGACCCAATGACGAGCCCTGGCTCGGGGCTCATTCTACAGGCCAACTTTGCACATGGTCAGCGGCGGGAGTCCTTCCTGTACCGGTCTGACAGTGACTATGACCTCTCTCCGAAGTCTATGTCCAGAAACTCCTCCATTGCAAGTGACATGTAAGTAGAATTGATATCTCCAGTTACAGGCCAGTGCTCATGATTATTGTAACAATGTTAAAGCATGGTGACTCGATTATTATCCATATGCTCCACGATAAATGAAGAGACGTTTGCATGTTACCAACATGCATTGTTTCATATTATACAGATACCTAAGCATAACCTTTCCGATCAGTTAGTTCTTATCAATCTACAGCTCTTATTACGATTCATCCAGAGACAACAAACTCTTTTATGGAATCATTTTGCTCTTTGTGAAATATACGTGTATTTGTTTTCAATAAACTGTGTTGGAAACCCCAGGTCAGGGGAGGAAGATGCAGTACTTTAATGATTTAGAATCTAATATTGTGATAAAACATTCAGAAGGAACAACATTTTTAATTTAAAGTTTCTAGTGGAAACAAAATATCTTGATTGGGGGTCTCACTCTCTGTTTGGCTGACATTAAATGGTTGTGTTTTTCTGAATCCTGGCCTATCTCCAGAGGAAACAGTGGGGAAGGGAGATTTCAAACCAGTCTGAGGCGAGGCTCTCCATGCATACAATTACATAAGGCACTACAGCATGTAAACAGACCATTGAACACAAATAATCTGCTTCAGTGTTTATACTCCACATAAACCTATATCCCTTCTCTCCACACTCCTGTATTTCCTTCTCCCTTCTCCAGTTTTCTCTTAAATACTCCCTTGTTGTTTTCTGTTTCAATCACTGATTCTGGCAGTCAGTTCCACGTTATCACATCTCTCTGCATAAATAAGTTCCTTCTAAACTCCTTTTTAGATCTGCTACTGGTTTTCTTACATTCATGCCCATAGTTTTGGACTTACCGACACGTGGAAACGGCTTATTAACATCCACCTCATCAAATCCTTTCACCCTTTTATGCGAATAATAAAAATGACGATTTTACCAAATAATAATAATAATCCTTGCATTTTTATATAGTGCCTTATCATGCCTTCGATACGTTTCAAAGCACTTCATAAAATATACTGTAAAGTTAATTGACTACAAAATCTTCAGAATATTTTTTTCTCGGACTAGGAATTTTTTCTATAAAATGGAATAGTTAATGGAACAAAAACTGGTACCTTAACACCAGTTTAAAGAGGTTACTCTGTCACTCGCATCTCCTTCCAAAACTGGTTCTTGGTTTGTTTTTTGAAAAAATTATGTCATTTTCCAGAAATCTTATTTTTTTCCACATCACCAATAAATGATGCAGTTTCAGGCCAGGTTACTGAGACTGCAGGCTTTCATTGTCGAAAGAATTCACTCCATTGACTAAGAACAGGACAGAATAGCTCTCTAATCTTTCAAATTCACCTTAAGAGTTTTACAGTGATATAGATCCCATTGAATTATCTTCAAAGCTCACTTTCAGTTCCATGACACCAGATACCTTTGATGCCAAATTAAAATACCTGAGTGGTAAGTCTATTCATGTCAGGGTCTAATCTTATTACGAGAAGCGTAATAAATACTTTTTATGTCAAGACCATCTCTTTTTGCAGTAATGAATTACCATAAACTTTCTGGCACAGGCTTGGGAATGGAAGGCTAGATTTGGATTTGAAGTTAGTCTCCAATAATTCACTCCTTAAAATTGGAGTGGGACGTATGGAAACATACGGAAACCTCACCATGCTTAAGAGTATCCAAATCAAGCTGAGAATTCCATGCATCCCACCTATTATGAGTTCTAAGAATAGAACTCATTAAGCCAGTTCTACCAGTTCATTTAATATCAATGCCCATCTCTTTCTTCATCCCATTAACAGATCAATGCTTTTGCAGGATCAATAAGTATGTAAATGGTTACTGACCATATTAGCACTATTTGAAAAATAACTGCTCCTCACAGACATTATGTTGTAACCTAATTCAGCAAGTGATGATCCAATTTCAGAATATGATCCAGAATAGAAACAGAGCAAGAGCTCATTTGGTCTCTGGAGGGAGCCCATCCTGAATTGGTCCTCAGTTTGAATTCATTGTACCTCGTTCAAGCATTAATGCTTTCATGAATAAAACATTCTTGTTCATAGCAATAATTGATACCATGATTAGCACTGATCACTGATATCTGTTGGTCTAAAGCCTTTGCCAATAGTTGGTGCCTTGATTGACACATGTTCAGCCCCAAATATCAGTATTGAGGTAGTTGAATGTTTAACACCTCATACTATCACTCGGCACATGTTGTATCAATGCATCTATCTATCAGCTATAGTAGATCTCTTGGGATAGCATCAGTGTTGCAATTGGGACAAATCTAGTGCCTGTTTTAATGCAGGGCTCTAAGATCAGTAGTAATAAAACAATACCACTAATTCTAATCCTTATATTAGATAAAACGCCTTTCACATCAGGAGGACATCTCAAAGCATTTCACAGGATTTACTGTAAAGTGTAGTGCCTGTATTTTATTAGCAAACCAGCCAATTTGCATTCAGCAATGTTCCACAAATGGCCATAACATGAATTAACAATATTATTTGGTCTGAGCGAAACTCCCCTATTTTATTAGTACCATAGGGTCTTCAACATCCACCTGAGCAGGATGCTGGGCTGTATTGCTAAGTCGGTTGAGTTTAGGTCCCAGACCAGGATGTCTATTCAGGCTGTCCAGTGAACTGGTCAGACTGCACTTTGAATACTGCATACAGTTCTGGTTATCACATTATAAAGGTGCCTACGCTCTAGAGGCGGTACAGAAGACAGCAACGAGAAAGATTCCCAGTATTAGGGGAATGAGATAAGAATAACATAAGAACATAAGTATTAGGAGCAGGAATAGGCCATTCGACCCCTCGAGCCTGCCCCGCCATTTGATAAGATCATGGCTGATCTTCAGATCTAACTCTAATTACCTGCCCTATCCCCATAACCCCTAATCCCTCTATTTTTAAAAAATCTATCAGTCTCAGCCTTGAAGATGTTCAAGGACTGAGCATCTACAGCCTTCTGGGGTAGTGAATTCCATAAATTATAGATTCTCCTACCAGGGGAAACAGTCCCTCAGTGTCTACTTTATCCAGCCCTTTAAGAATCTTATATGTTTCAATAAGATCTCCCCTAATTCTTCTGTACTCTAGAGAATATAGCTCTTGTTTATTCAGCCTATCCTCATAGGTCAGTCCCCTCATTCCAGGAACTAACCTCGTGATATGAGCAATGACCAGACAAGCTAAGGCTCTTCAGTCTTGAGAGAAAATGACTCAGAGGAGGACTAATAGAGGTGTATAAAATTTTAAATGGGATTGAAAATGTAAACCCAGATCTATATTTTATTTTCAAGGCAGCAGAATAAGAGGACATAGGTTTAGAGTTGTAAAGGGCAAATTCAGGACAGATACCAGGAAGTTTTTCTTTATACAGAGGGTAATGAACGACTGGGACAGGTTGTCAGTAACGTTGGTAGTAGACGTTATTTGGTAGTAGAGGCCAGGACATTAGACTCCTTTAAAAAGCAGTTTGATGCAGTGAGGGGGGAACAGTAGGGTGGGTGTTCTGGGGCGATAAGATCAGAAATGCCAGATCTCATCCAGACCAATCTTGAGAACAGGCAGACAGGTTTGATCCAAATCTGGTACTAGTACACTGATACAAATACAAATTGATGCTCATCCAGTTCTATTGGTAGTATCACTGGTACCTCCTTAATGCCAGGATTTTATATCTATATTGACACAAATCCAATATGAGTGTTGCCTCTTCATTATTGTAATGTTCTCATACATTCTCATCTCTAAATTATTGCTGACCAATTGGAAACTGGTTGCATCCAGAGGGTATAAAAAGGGGATACCTGCGAGAGCCTTTCTCGAGCAGAGAGTCCAGAGTGAGCTACGTCCGAAGTGAGGCAAGGTCAGAGTGAGAAGGAATTGGGTGAGAGTGGGAATTAGGTGCAGAGGGGTAAGTATTTCTTCTAAACAACAATAATACAGGGATAAATAGAGTGAGAGGAGAGAATGACCTGGCAGGTGATGTGTGAGGAATGTGGTATTGTGGGAGTTGATGGAGAGCAACCTAAGCCTGGGCGACTTCATCTGCAGCAAATGTCTGCAACTGAGGAAGCTCCAGCTTAGAATAGCTGAGCTGGAGTCTCAGGTGGAGACACTGCTCAGCATTAGAGATGGGGAGAGCTTCCTGGACAGTTTCATCCTGGAGCCAGACACTCCCACAAGTCCCAGGGAACATTCCATTGCCAGCCACGGACAGGACTGGGTGACGGTCAGACAGGCGCGTAAGGGGACCTGAAAGAGAGGGGCAGAGGAACTCCAGGCTTTAACCTTGTCCAACAGGTATGAAATACTTGCAACCTGTGTGGACAAGGAAGTCTGTGAGGAAGATGGGCAAACAACACCTCTATACAGGAGGCCACATTGGGAATAGTCAGAAGGAATATAGTGGTAATTGGGGATGAGACAGTCAGGAAGACTGACACACTTTTCTGCAGTCGTAGCAGGGAGACAAGAAGACTCTGTTGCCTTCCTGGGTCCAGGGTGAAGGACGTAACTTCTGGGCTGGAGAAAAATTTGAAGCAGGAGGGAGTGGATCCAACTGTAATGATTCACATAGGGACCAATGATATAGGTAGGACAGGTAGGGATGAGTTGAGGAGCAAGTTCCGGGAATTGGGAGTTAAGCTAAAGAGTAGAACTTCGAAGGTATTAATATCGGGATTATTACCTGAGCCAGGGGCAATTGGTACAGGCAAAAAAAAATTAAAGAACTGAATACCTGGCTAAAAGAATGGTGCTGAGGTCAGGGGTTTCACTTTATAGGCCACTGGCACCAGTATTGGGGGAGACAGGAGCTATTCCAAAGGAATGGACTCCACCTAAACAGGGCTGGGACAAATGTCCTGGCAACACGAATAAATAGGGAGGTAGACAGGGCTTTAAACTACTAAGGGGGGTAAATTCAATCACATGTAATCCGTCACAATTAAAATTAGGACCGATAAAAGTGGGAGAGCAGATTAA